TTTGTTTTGTGACATTAAAGAAATCACTTCTCTCTGTGCCTCAATTTTTCCTATCTGATAAACTGTGGTAAACTTATTTCCCTCCCAGAGTGGTTGCAAAGTTTAATGTCTACAGCACTCTGAAGATGCAAAGCCCTACAAGTGCTAAGTATTGGTATGAAAATGGGGAGTGGGGGGTGCAGAATATCCCTAAGGGATAAGTAGTATCTAAAACAAACATCACACACAGTTCTATATTAAAATAACATTAAATGTCCATATTTAATGTGGTATTATGATGGTCATTAAAAATTGTTTAAGTGGAGTAGCACCCTAGAAGGTGAAGGATTGTGTAGCAGTTTATTGGGGCTTAAAGAGAGACCTTATGCCTTGCTGGTGGGTTTCTGTCACCATGTACCCTGCTGTATGCTGTTTTATCACTTAGTCGTTAAGGAGGCTAGACCAGGGGTGGACAAACTACGGCCTGCAGGCTGGATCCGGCCCCTCAGGGCTTTGGATCCGGCCTGCAGGACTGCCTCCGATGGCGCTGCGGGCCCCGCGCTGTTCTCAGAAGTGGCTGGCACCACTTCCCTGCGGCCCCCGGACCGGGGGCAGAGGGCTCTGTGCATTGCCCTTGCCTCCAGGCAGCACCCCCCACAGCTCCCATTGGCCGGGAATGGGGAACTGCGGCCAATGGGAGCTTCAGGGGAGGTACCTGGAGGGGTGGCAAGGGCAGCACATGCGAAGCCCTCCGCCCCCGCTCCCCGCAGCACTTCCTGGAGCAGCGTGGGGCCGGGGACAGGGCAGGGAGGGAGCCTGCCGTGGCCCCAGTGTGCACCGCTGCCACCCTGGAGCCACTTTAGGTAAGCGGCGCTGGGCCAGAGCCCAAACCCCACCTGCACCCCACCCCCCAACTCCCTGCCCTAAGCTCCCTGCCTGCACCTTGCACCCCACCTGCACCCCAACCCCTGCCTTGAGCCCCCTTCCGCAGTCCACATCTCTCCTGCACCTCTGCCCTGAGCCCCCTTTGCACTCCGCACCCCTCCGGCATCCCAACCCCCTTCCCAGAGCCCCCTCATACACCCTGCACCCTTCCTCTGCCCCAATATCTTGCCCTGAGCCGCTTCCTGCACACCGCCCCCCCTCCCACACCCTGCACTCCCTCCTGCACCCTAACCCCACCCAGATGTGGCCCTCGGCCCAAAAAGTTTGCCCATCCCTGGGCTAGACAGCAGAATGCTGGGTGGGGAATGTACTTCAGTTGCCGTCTCTTCCTCTAAACCAGCCATGCTTCACCTCTTCCTCAAGGAGGGAATTTCTTTCTTGCTTTTGTGATGTCAGTGGAAACAAATGACTTTCTTCTATGCTGGCTAATGGTTCTGCTTCTCTTCTGCATATCCCTGATCTGCAGTTTGTAAACCCTGTGCTATGTGCAGCCATAGAAATCTTTGTTCATTGCTGCTATTGCAGAGGGAGGACACAGCTGATCAGCTG